CAATATTGATTTGTACAGTCAAATCTCAGTAGACAAATTAAAGGCTTTTCATATGTCTCTATTTACTTTTTCTCTATAACATTTTCTTGTTGCCATATTCTGGTGGCAGAATATTAATGATTTTTTTTTTATTTTGACTTGAATTACAGGCCTGAAGAAGAAGATTTGTTATCACTCTTTCTATTATTTTTTTTTTTTTGAGGCGGAGTCTCACTCTGTTGCCCAGGCTGGTCTCGAACTCCTGACCTCGTGACCTGCCTGCCTCAGCCTCCCAAAGTGCTGGGATTACAGGCGTAAGCCACCATGCCCAGCCTATTATTTTCTTTTTCTTTTCTTTTTCCTTTTTTTTTTTTGAGACAGAGTTTCCCCTCTGCTGCCTATGCTAGAAAGCAATGGAGTAATCTCAGCTCACTGCAACCTCCCCCTCCAGGGTTCAAGTGATTCTTGTGCCTCAGTCTCCTGCGCAGCTGTGGCTATGGGCACGTGCCACCAAATCTAGCAAATTTTTGTATTTTTGGTAGAGACGGAGTTTCACCATGTTGGCCAGGCTGGTCTCGAACTCCTGGCCTCAAGCGAGCCACCCGTTTCAGCCTCTCAAAGTGCTACGATTTTAAGAGTGAGCCACCGTGCCTGGCCTATTATTTTCAAGTGTAGATTAAAACAATACATTCATGTGATAAAAAAATACAAAATATTAAGTGATCAAAACTGCCTGCAAATTTCCCTGTGTGCATCTCTGCTAAAAGATAGAAGTTGGAAATGCATCTGAAACACATAGTTTAGAAGGGAGAGGGAAAACTACCAATGATAACGACACAAATATTTACTGTATGTTCACCTGATACCAGCCCTTGTGCTATGTGCTCTCTTTCATCCAAGTACTGACCAGGCCTGACCCTGCTTACTTCTGGGATCAGATGAGATAGGGCGTTCAGGGTGGTATGGGGGCAGACACCATGTTCTCTCTATACATTATCTGCCCTTCTCCACCCCCACCCATTCTGATTTCCGTGGCCACCCTCCTCCTGTATCAACCAAAACCTTTTCCAGGATCTGATGAGTGTGTGGGCATTGAGCACCTTAATCCGGCATTCAGTTCATCCCACAGTGCCAGGTATGCTTACCAGAAGTGGCCCACTAGGCACTCGCATTCCATACCCAGCTCCACGCACCAGCAAGCCGGGCTTCTTACCCATTTAAAGTGTGAGAGTAGGTGGAGCTCCTTCGGGTCCTAAAACCTCCAATCATTTGCTTTATGGATGAAACCACGTGGGGTGGGTTTTGGAAGAGTGCCAGCCATCCCGAGGGAAACCTCAGAGGGAACTAGCTACTAGATGGTTCCATCAGTCTTTCACCCATATATACCCAGGTCTAATGACCGATTGATTTACACGTCAGGACCGCTAGGGACTTCCACTAGTTTCCTCCAGCTTTGCCCTGACCAGGCACAGTTCACTATCTTTCAGATCCTAACAAGTGCCCTGGTGCTCCACCTCCGGGGCACTGCCCTGGGTGAGATGGGCCAGTGGTGCGCCCTCAGGGAACCGGAGAGGCCTCGGGATCCCACCTCGGCCGGCGAGCGCGCCGGCCTTCACCTTCACTGCGCCAAGGCAGCTTTCTTGCAAAACACTGACTCGCACGTGCTTTATTTCTTAATCCTTACAAAACTTAATAAGGGTGGTATTGTTGGTATCCGTATTTAACAGATGGAAAAAACAGAGGCACATGGAAATTAAATAATTTGTCCAACATCACACAGCTGGAAACAGACTGGAAACCAGTACATTCATTTATGTTGACTGTCCCGAAAAGAGTTAATATAGTAGGCCTGAGACTGCTAACCTCAGAAAGAACTGTTTGTAAGGTTGCCCCTTGGCTGATAGGTGGATACTCGGATTATGAAAGGGTTTCCACTATTCCCTCACAAGAGTGGCTCACTATACCTAAAGTGTTTACATTAACAACGTGGTTGATACTACACACCTGGTTTCCTTCTGGATGTCTGAAACTTTGGTGAGTGCTAGACAGAGGATACCTACATGGCCAACCATCAATAAAAACCTTGGGCAATAAAAACCTCAAGCTTCTATTGAACTTCCCTGATAGACATTTTACACATGTTACAATTAGTCACAATCCGTTACTGGGGGAATGAAGTGCATCTGTGTGACCCCACTGGGGAGGACTCCTAGGTGCTGGCATCTGGCTTCCTTCAGACTGTGTTCCTTGCACCTTCACCCTTTGCTGATTATGCTTTGTCTCCTCTCGTGTAATAAACCATAGCCACAATTACGATCATCTGCTGAGTCATGTGAGTCCTCCTAGTGAAGCATCAAACCTGCGGGTGGTCTTAGGGACCCATGATGCATTGATGTATACCTATGGGCACTTACTATATTAGGACCTGGGATCACGGAGATGTAGATAAGTAACGGAATAGCCGTTATATTTGTATAGAGCTTTATAGTTTTTAAAATGTTATGTATATTATTTTCTTTAATTTCCACATATTCCTCTAAAGCTGTTTTCTTTTTGTTTTTTGAGATGGAGACTCGCTCTGTCCCCAGGTTGGAGTGCACTGGCATGATCAAGGCTCACTGCAACCTCCCCTGCTCTCGGATTCAGGTGATTCTCCTGCCTCAGACTCCCGAGTAGCTGAGAAAACCAGTGCGCACCACCATGCCTGACTAATTTTTGTATTTTTAGTAGAGATGGGGTTTCACCATGTTGGCCAGGATGGTCTCGATCTCTTGACCTCGTGATCTGCCTGCTTCAGCCTCCCAAACTGCTGGGATTACAGGCAAGAGCCACCACACCCGGCCTGTAAAGCTGTTTTCTAAGCCTATAATTCCTAGTCTCTTTGTATGTAAATGAACGAAGTGTTACATTTTTAAACTAAAGTTCACTTAAGCCAGAGCAATTCACATGTCTAAAAGTAATTCTGACAAGGATATTCTTTAACTAATAAAATACTGGTTAGAATTATTGATATTGTGAGGTTCCTGAGAAACTGGGTCTTTATCAAGCAACACCAGATGCAAAACGCAAACAAATCAAAGTCTAAATAACAATTCTCAATCACCTCTCGCTTAAGGTGTTTGTTCCTTCAATCTCAGGATTTCAAACCCTGGGCTAGAATGGCAAAGGCTGTTTTAACCTATCTAGTCCGCCCTAGGATGTGGCTTTCCCTTTGAAAAGTACACATTCTTCTTCAGAAGAAGCCATTGCTATACTAGTTAAATTAATCCTTCAGAATGATAGGAGAATTCCCATCCACACCACAGTGTTTTACCTTATCGGCCTGACGCATATAGCAGTAGAGAATTCCTCTCATGCATTTTATAGCTGAGTGCTCCAGCTCATGGGTCCTTCCCTTGTCATCATCAATGCGCCTGGGTGAGAGAGATAACTCATGAAACAAATTGGAAATGCATTTGAAAAGGAAGCAGAACTTCTGATAATTAAGTATTTAACTATCTGGCTAATCCTGTGTTCTGGTAACATCTACCAATTCTGTCACAGTGAAACTCCATTTTCCCAGCAAAAGTAGAAATGCTGCAATGAAAAAAAAAATCCTATGATGAAACTTAGGTAGATTTTTCCTTCTTTCAAGGAGGTAAGCCAACTCCTTTTAAAAATAGTATACAATATTTCTACAGTGATTTGGCTAAAACTTTAAAGAATATTTCCATTGGAAAAAAATCCAGCAACAGATTGTTTTAAACTCACTGTTATGAAATAAAGCCAGTTTTTATTACCTATCCCTGTAGGTTATGCAATGGCCACTTGGATGTAAGTAGCAGCTACAAGTTAAGGTAGGTGCTGGCTTTCTTTGCTCTGCAGTATGTTCAACACCGTCAGGGCAGGCATTTAGTCACAGTCAAGGATGCCTTCAACTAAGCACATATCCCGGATGATACATGATGTATTTTGGCATAAAGTTTTATATTCTCTGGTTTTAATTTAAAATCAATTGAGAGTATTTTACATCTCTTGCTTTTAAAAATAAAGAACAGCTAAAATCTAACTATTAAACTAGGTTAAGATGTTACCTCTGTCCACAAGTTGCTTTTTATTATAGATCAGTAACTTTTCAAAGGTGGATGAGAGTCAACCACTACTAAAACATAAAAGTGACTTATTCATTGTTTCACTTAATCTTAACTAAAAATATCTGATAATCACTCTCACATCATTAAAAAGTATCACTTCTCTCCTTAAAAAGTATACTATAATTGCCTCCCAGTTAAATCATAGATCACATATACCATTCACTATTGGGAAGAATGATTATTATTTTGACACAGTATGGCGAATGTCAGTAAAAAGTAAGTTATTCATCATTAGCACATCATACCTTCTTTTTCATGCTGGCACTGCACAAAAATTAGCATGAATTTGCTCTATACAGTACTTTTCCCATTGAGGTCAGACATAAGTGTTTTAATAGAGGCATATTCTACATAGACAGTGTGCCTGCAAAGTAAGGACTTTAAAGTCTCTATCTGATTTAGAAGCATTCTGGGAAAAAAAAAAAAATCAAATTTCGAATCTACAAAACAGTTAAAAGGATGCTATAACTTAGATTCACCATCTTAACATTAGCTTGCATTCTCTATTACATTTTCTTCATTGTTTGAAAGTAAGCTACGAACATCATGACCCTTCACTCCTACACACTTCGGAAGTATCTCTAGAAAACAAGATTCACCTACATAACCATAATACCATTATAATACCTAAGAAATTTAATACTGATACTATAAGATCTAATACATAGTCTTGGCTCAAATGTTGAAGTGCCCCAAAAATGAACTTTACAGTATTTTTTTTTTTTTTTGAGACGGAGTCTCACTCTGTCGCCCAGGCTGGAGTGCAGTGTGCCGGATCTCAGCTCACTGCAAGCTCTGCCTCCCAGGTTTACGCCATTCTCCTGCCTCAGCCTCCTGAGTAGCTGGGACTACAGGCGCCCGCCACCTCGCCCGGCTAGTTTTTTGTATTTTTTAGTAGAGACAGGGTTTCACTGGGTTAGCCAGGATGGTCTCGATCTCCTGACCTCGTGATCTGCCCGTCTCGGCCTCCCAAAGTGCTGGGATTACAGGCTTGAGCCACCGCGCCCAGCCTACTTTACAGTATTTTTAAATGCATGATCCAATTAAGGATCATGTATTGCATTTGGCTGTTGTATTTCTTTAGTCTCTTTTAACCTAGCCATCCTCATACCTATTTCCTAGTCATCTGTAGTACTGACATTTTTAGAGCCCAGGCAAGTTGTCTTATAAATAGCCACAATTCAGCTTTGTCCAATTTTTTGTTCATATGTAGACTCATGTTAGATAACTTGGTAAGATGTTAGCACAAGGTGTATTTCCCATTGTGTCAAACCAGGAACAGCAATTAACATCAGTCTGTCTCATTATTGGCTTTACCACTTGGTGAAGGTGCTACTGATGCTCCCTGTACTCCTAAGATCAGTAGCAGTTTTACATTTAATAAAGCCATATTGTCCTTACCTAGAATATTTAAGGAAATGCTTTTAGTGATGTCAGCATTCAAGTGTGCTAAAGAAGACTACTGCATATGATCTCAGTGTTTTTCATTTTAAAATCCAACACATCAGTAATTTCAAACAGCTAAATCATGTTCATGTGAAAGATACAATTTTTAAATCAGAAACATAACTATGGGTCACTTTCAGAAAATTAATATTCAGAAAGTTAATCTTACTAATCTTAATTATGGTTAAAATGTATTACCACTGACTATGTGTTAGCATCCACATTCAGTGCTTTCTACATATAATGAAATAAAGGAGAAATTCTGTAATGTCAAACTATTTCTTTTTTTACTTTACACAATTTTTTCACTTACGACCAGACCTAATAACAGATACTTTGCTGAAGTGCAGTGATAAAACCGGAAACTGGGTAAGGGAAAAGAATTCTGACCCTGGCTCTATCATTAACGAGTTGCATCATTTGGAACAAATTTGTTAAGGACTCAGGGCTCTAATTTTATTACCTGCAAAATTTAGTCATCATCAGTTCTCTCCCTGATTGAAATCAATCAACACAATGAGAGTGTGTAGGTAGTTCATTCTACCAATGACTAATAATGCTGATTTAGAAACCTAGAGACAAAAAGTTTTGTTCACAAAGTCATAAAATCTTAGAACTGGTCTGATATAAGCTTTTAGAAAAATGAAATGGTTTAGGCCGGGTATGGTGGTTCACACCTGTAATCCCAGCATTTTGGGAGGCCAAGGCTGGCGGATCACTTGAGGTCAGGATTACGAGACCAGGCTGGCCAACATGGAGAAGCCCCATCTCTATCAAAAATACAAAAATTAGCCAGGCGTGGTAGTGCATGCCTGTAATCCCAGCTACTTGGAGGCTGAGGCAGGAGAATTGCTTGAACCCAGGGGGCAGAGGTTGCAGTGAGCCAAGGTCATGCCGCAGAACTGCAGTCTGGGTGACCTCATCTCAGAAAAAAAAAAAAAAAAAGAAAAGAAAAAGAAAAAGAAAATGAAAATGTTTGAAGGCCTAAAAAGGGATGTGAGCAGCCATAGGTTGCACAGTAAGTCAGCAGCAGAGCCAAAAGATGGCTGCTCAATTAGTCTTGGTCCTACAAAACCCTATTATCCATTCTCAAAGTTACTAGGAGAGCACACACCAGCTCACCTGTATGCAAGAGCCAAAGCCCAGGCCCCAGCAGCGCAGTATAGACTGTCCTGGATCTTGGCCTTCTGGTCACCACCACATGTTTTAGTGGGAAAGAGACCGGTAGTTGGACTTTGATACAGCAGCAATGTTGACTTGACTGCAATTGAGGACAAGACAAAGAATGAACTGTACAGCCAGCGACTTCCCTTGGGCTAAATGTTTTAATCTTCTTTGGTTTCCTCATCCCATTTCTGACAACTTTGTTTCTAAACTTGCTATAGTATAATACTTCTGAAGATGTGGAAACAACAACATGTCATTCCAGCCTTAGCGGGAATCCACCCTACACAAAGAAATCTTTCCAGTTTTTAGGAAAAGACTTAGCTAATTAGGACTTAAAAAGCCTTTAGCACATCCCTGGTAATGTCAATGTGTGTTAGAAATCTTATTAGGACAACATCAGGTACAGAGGGAAAAAGAGATCAAGCAAAAGACTAAGTATAATAATTTTTAAAAATCAGTTCAATAGGTAAACTTAAAGCAAATGCACAAGAAAGAGTAGCATACATTTAGTAAATCACAAAGCCACCTCAACTGCTACAATAAATGATCAACAATGTAGGAAGGGCGAGGGGAAGATCACAGAACAGGCTGGAATCCTGTGTTTCACTGATGGCTAAATTGTGCCTGGTCTTCAGAGGAGTGTACAGGATTCATTTTACTTTATTGTACAGATTAGGAAAATGTTTAACATTTTAAAACTGAATTCCATCCATATATAACATGAACACAGCAGCAAATAAATAATTTTTTATGAACATTTTACTTAAATAAGTCTGAAATTAACATTTTATTATCTTTTATAAATGGGCTTTAAAATAGGAAAACACACACACTAAAATTACATTTACTAAAAGCTGTTTTATTGCTATCTAACTATAAATGGATGGGTAATGCTTTTCCTAAAATGCATTACACTAACCCTATCTAGATTGGCAACTACCTTTTTGTTTTGAGACAGGGTCTCGCTCTATAACCCAGGTTGGAGAGCAGTTGCATGATCATAAGCTCACTGCAGCCTCTAACCCCTGGGCTTCAGTGATCCTCCCAACTTAGACTCCCAAGTAGCTGGGTCTACAAGCAATCACCACCACGCCAGGCTAATCTTTAAACGTTTTGTAGAGAAGGAGGGCTTGTTATGTTGCCCAAGCTGGTCTCAAACTCTTGGGTTGAAGCAATCTTCCCATCTTGGTCTCCCAAAGTGCTAGGATTATAGGCATGAGAGATCACACCCAGCCATGTTATCTACTTTTTGGGATAGTTTTTCAAAGGTCGAAAACATTCTGTTCTGTCACAGAGATTTAAAGAATTAAACTTTCTTTTTGCTTTTCTCAGACTAAATTTATCTTTTTTTTTTTTTTTGAGACGGAGTCTCACTCTGTCATCCAGGCTGGAGTGCGGTGGCACAATCTTAGCTCACTGCAACCTCTGCCTCCTGGGTGCAGGTGATTCTCCTGCCTCAGCCTCCTGAGCAGCTGGGATTACAGGAGCACACCACCACACATGGCTGATTTTTGTATTTTTAGCAGAGACGGGGTTTCTTCATGTTGGTCAGGCTGGTCTCAAACTCCTGACCTTGTGATCCGCCCGCCTCCGCCTCTCAAAGTGTTGGGATTACAGGCGTGAGCCACTGTGCCCGGCCTCTAAATTGATCTTATCATAATCATTTCTTTCAGAAAACCAGGGTATTTATTATTTTTCCCAGTGTAAAGAATTAGTCCTAAGAGTTCAAAGTACACAATTTACATTTAAAAAAGTTCTCTTTAGCTAGTTATTGCCAAAAAGATAATAAAATGGGCAACTTAATGCATGCAAGAATCTTGACCAAAATAAGTGAGATTGAAGTTTTATATGAAGTTGAAATAGATGAAAAGTCCATTATCTTAGAGGGAGAGAAATCAAATTTTATGTTTTCTGCCATACTAGTACAAGTAAAATGGCATAAAATGTAAACTGACAAAAAGATTAATATGCATTCTAATATATGGTCTGACAAACAAAGAGGAGGCCCACATACACATATCTGAAAGCTGCTTACTCACATTGAAAAACAAAATTTGTAAGGCTGGTCCTGGAAAAACAAAATAAACAAAACACCAGGGCCCTGATATTAATAATACTAACCTGTGATTATCTCTTGTATCTCAATGAATTAGAAATGGATATAAAAAGTTCAGGACTATCTGGGAACCACATTTAGGTAAATAAGCAAATTAATACTTATGTGAAATATTTGTGTATTAATCAAAAAACATCTTCAAGGTCTCAAATCTGGTAACTTTTAGTAAGGTTTAAAAAACACAGAAGATATTGGTGACAGTTTTAAAATTATTCAAGGGCCAGATATGAGCTGCCAGATTCCTTTTATAGTCCTGGTATTGACATACAATTGGAATACACAGCTACTTAAGCACTGAAAGTACCCCAACATCCCAATGACAGAACAATATCATCCATATAATGTACACGATTTAACTAGGGCAAAGGGAATACTAATCGCAGATACCTAAGGACATGTTTTCCTCAGGTTTTGCTCACCAATTCTGTAATAATGGTCCAATTTATCCCAGAGAGTTTCATTATCAGGTCTTGGAAGATTAATGCTTTTAAGAGGTTCATAAACTGAGCCTAAAAGAAAAAATAAAAACCCATCAAATTCAGTCATTTTCACAAAGATAAACAAAGAAAAACTCTAAACAAACGAAGAAGCAGTGCTTAATCTAATTTTCATTATTTTATGTGAAGTACCATACTTTACTACTTGTAAATCTTTTTGCTGGGGGAACAAGAGGGAATAAAGTACCTTTGACAATAAATACAGAAGAACTTGAAAAGTCACAGGATATTCCCACCCTTACCTCCAGCACTCAGTCCAACTAATTGATGTGTATATGATCCAAACAACTAAGTGTCACTAATACTCAGGTGGTAGCCATTTGTCAATAGATTCTAGTTATTAAGAAATATGTCTAATTAGATGACCATAAATCCAAACTTCATTCCTTATGCTAATGTTTCATCACACATTTTTTTCTCAAATGATCATACCCCCAAACCCTCAAGGAAAGAAGATAATGTTCACATACTCCAAAGCCATCCACTCCACGAATATTCAGCTAGGTTCCATGCTGAAATTCCTAATCCTTTACTTTCTCCCAGGTAGATGATATTCTTGCCTTATTATCTGGACTATAAGCAGATCATTTCTACTTTTCAACCTTGGAAACTACTCAAAGGTATTAGCAGAGTCAGCTACTCAAAAGCTAGAAAATATACAATAATCATGATAATTTACCACGAAATGGATACAGAAAATTGTTCACTTGACTAGTGCACTTTCTCAACTGCTAACTGAAAGAAAGACATCTGAACCTTCAGCCATCAGACTAAGTACCATCTCTCATTCTTGTTAAAAGCACTCAGAAATTATAAACATCTCAAGGTCACAAATAATCCACCTCTGGATTCAGGTAATGTATACCATGTAGCCTAAGAACACAGCACAAAAATGAACCTATAATTTACCTAGTGAGGGAAATCACATTGGCATAGATTAAGATTCTGTTTTTAAAGAAAATTAAAGCCTTTATGCTCATAAAATTGCTATGTCCAACACGCTAGTTTAAAGCCAAGGTTTTGGGAAGCCTTTATGTTTAGGCAGATAGTAACATTAAGAAGAAAGTAAAGAAAGAGCCTATATATTCAGGCAACAATCTCATTATCTTCTGTTGAACAGATAGACTAAGTACTGTCTCTCATTCTTGTTAAAAGCACTCAGAAATTATAAACATCTCAAAGTCACAATTAATCCATCTCTGGATTCAGGTAATGTATACCATATAGTCTAAGAACATAGCACAAAAATGAACCTATAATTTACCTAGTGGCAGAAATCACATTGGCACAGATTAAGATTCTGTTTTTAAAGAAAATTAAAGCCTTTATGCTCATAAAATTGCTATGTCCAACATGCTAGTTTATAGCCAAGGTTTTCGGAAGCATTTATGTCTAGGCAGATAGTAACATTAAGAAAGTAAAGAAACGGCCTATACATTCAGGCAACAGTCTCATTATCTTCTGTTGAAAAGATAGGTAATTTGTAGATAAGGCTTGCTCTGAGTGAAAAGAAGATTTTCTTGTAAGAGTATTCACAATGGCACCAACAGGAATGGGTCCACAGTGAGGAATAGAAAGACCTATCAACAGATGGAGCATCAGTACTCCTTTCCCGCTTCAAAGGAAAGGACCCAGCCACCCCCCAGCCATGCCCCTTGCCTTCCTGTATTCAACTAGCTCCCGGCAGGTATAAGTATATGGGTAGCCCAGCAATCAGAAAGGAACAATATGCCACTGCTAGAGCATAAGGTAATAAGCTCTAGGAGTCTATACACTCCCAGTGAAGCTCATTCACTATGAAAGAAAATAAATTAGGTACAAATAATCATAATTTATAAATTGTGCATATGTATATATAAAAACTAAAGGGGACACCTTTGCTGGGGTGAAAGAATTGTGGGTAACATTTCTGTTTTTAGTTAGATCTCTATTAGTAGAGGTAGTATTTTGCTTTACATACAAAAAATATATCACCAACAGTTGAGTATATAATTCCATTACAATTAAATGATACATGAGCATATGGATGCAGAATATGCAAACTGAAATCAACCTGCATCACAATGGTAGGTAAATTGATTTTGAAAGATTGTTTTAATGATATTTAATCAAGATTTTAGATTTTAAAGTATTTATTTTTAAAAGTGGTACAATATTTAAGATCTAAGGGACTATAGTGATTCTGTCATCTAATTTTTCTTAAAAAAAAAAAAAGTTTTATTAGAGGCAACAACAAATAAACAAAAGGAAAATCAGGCCTCTCAAGAAAATAAGAATCTATTCAGTAATAGGAAAAATAGAAGATGTTCAAAGTATAGCAGAAAGGGTAAAAGTAGAATCATCTAAATTACACATTCAAAGAATGCCTACGATAAGAACAGCTTGGTTAGATAAATGTTATTATTTTAGTGATCATCATTATATTGTTTCTAAAGCAACTACATAAAATTAAACAAGGATGTTCTACACAATTTATGGTAAACAATACCACAAATCTAAGTCAAAGGAAAAGTAATCAATGTTAACATTTTAAACAAAAATACGACATCTGGAAAGCATCAATGCCAGTAAAAATGTGAAGAGAGCAATTAATAGAGCATGAACTCCCAAAGCAAATTAAAGAGCTACAAAATAACAGAAAATTCTACTAAATAATTAGTTCCAATTGAAATGAAATGGTAAAATGTTAATTTTTCTTTTCCATGCTTTTCCCATTTGAATTATGTCTATATACAAGCATCATAAAGTAAAATAAAACTTATCAGTGATAGGAGAAAAATAGCTCAGAGCAGACTGAGCTAGGTGAGGTATGCAAAACTTACCAGGCTCAAGAAGACAAGAGTATGGGACTTAATCACACTTTCCCTCCTATGCACCCACACCCAAGGGCTATGTTTACAGGCATTTTTGTTCCTGACTAGCTGCCTTACCCATTATCTTCCAGTTCCTGGAATTTCTGATAAAAAGAACAATATATAGCTAATCAATAGCTTTTGTTATTTTACTACAAGTTATTGGTAAACAACTTAGAAGTCGCCTCTTCCTTCCTTTACAATTCACTTGTAACTGATGCTAATCAGAGGATATATTCAGGGCAGCTTCTAACTATGCTTCCACATAGATTCAGGCTTGAATAAACTCTATAATGAATCACATTTTCTGAATCTAGTTATTTAAGGTTAACATTTTGGCACCCTAGATGAGATCGGAAGTGGACCTCCAGAGAGCCCCACCACCACTTTACCAGCAATTGGCACTTTGGTACCAACGCTACCGGTAAGTCCTCCTTCACCCAACCTTGCCAAAGTCAGCAGGAATCTCTGGTAAGGCCCCTGTTGGGATGCGAATCCACCTGTCTTGATTGTGGATTAAGACTTTATTCAATTCATACATATTCTTAACTAGTTGAGGTTGGAAGTGAAGCTCTATAAAAGGTAAGAGTTTCATTTGTTATTCTCTAGAGATCTGCTGACCTCAGATCTGTGACTTTCATTTTCTCTGATGTTATTTTGAACTACTAGTTGGAGTTTTTCAACTTTTTCTATAGTTTAAACTTTGGTCTTTGAAAAGAGGGAGTGAATCTTTGTGGCTTAAGTGGAAAACTTGTAATTTTAAAAACTGACAAATCTAAAATCTTCTTGAGTGACCAAAATAATAAAAGGCTCTCTATGTGTCCCACTAGGTTTCTGGTTATTCGGGAAGGAAAACAAAATTTATGGACAACTATCTCTAAAACCTAGACTTTGTCCTTAAAGAGTGACCCACCATTAGAAACACCAGCTGGATTTATATTTAATGCTTATGGTGCCTCTTCATGCTACCATTTAAAAAACTAGTCACACAAAACTAAAGATGACCCCAAATTACAATGGTTGAAATAGTGTACTTTTAAAACACCTCAACTGGTTTATCTGTGTTCTCAATTTTAAAAAGCTAGCTCTAAAATAAAGTAACGAGGAGAGCTATTTTCAATGATACTTAGAAGTTTCTAAAAGAGATTCTGACAAAGTTATTTCTTTGCAAAAGGAAAATGTAAAATTGTATAAAGTGACTTTTAAAATGAAAAATGCTGCTGAAATTGTTCCTCCTCCTTTTTCTGTTTATTCTTTATTCTAACTGCTCCTCCCTTCCCTCCTCCTGCTCCTGGTGTACTGGCCTCATTTCAGGAATGAGACAGCAAGTATAAAGAGGTCCGCAGAGAACCTCCAACTGGCCTGCACACTGGGAGGAGTGTGCAATGGGTGGAGCCTCAGGAAGTTCACACTGTTTGCCACAGGGAGGAGCCTGATCTCCCCTGTTCCAGAGTGGTACCTAGGATTCAATCTATGAGGCAGGAAGCCAGCTAGCAGGACTTTGGCTTTGCTGAGACTCTCTGTTTCCCTTTGTTTTCCTTTTTGCCCGATAAATTCCATTTTTCTTGCCCTTTAAGGTGTCTGCAAGCCTAATCTTTCATGGCTGTGTGACAAGGACCCCATTTTTAGGTGAACTAAGGAGAAAGTCCTACAACAGTTTAGCACCCAACATGGGGCTTAAGAAAGGGTGAGTGAGATGCACACCAAATCTCTTCTTCTCTCATTTCTAAGCCTTTTCATCCTCAGACTTCTGAG